CAGTTCTTATCCCTTTGCCCCTTCAGGCAAAACAGACAGATGTAAAAAATTTCTTTTGTTTGACAGGTGATTCTAATTCTCAGTACTTACACCAAGGAACAGATAGACACTTGCCAGAGCAGCTTTCTTTAAGACATCCCTTTTGGGTCTTCTTACTCCCTCTCAGAACCACAATTGCTGTGTATTTTCCCCTTGCAGAAGTGCTCCATTTCAAGCAGAAATATCTTTGAAGATCGTATTTGATGATTTACCTACAGTATCCAGCTTTGCAACCCAATTTGAAGGCAACAAGCCTTCCAATCCCATTAATCAAATGTTATACTTAGTAGAGATCGCTGCACGAGAGGGAGGACACTTTTGATTTAACGTCAGCAAATCAAAGGCCATAAGAAAACATGGCGCTAGAACTCAACAACCTCAGCTACACATGTAGGTTCAGGAATTAGACCAATGCTTAATTAGAAAATAGTTTTAAAAAAAGAAACATTTCACAAATTCAAAAATTCACAGGTTCTAAAGCCAAAAGGACTATTACAACAATGTAATCAGACTTCCTGCATTAATAGGGGTCAAACAGTAATTTAGGTAAAAAACTTACTGCTTCTCTTTACACAATAGCATCTATTTTAGGAAGATTCAAGAATAGGGAAATGTTTCACAGTACTACATAACTTGTCACAACTAATATTTATTGTCACCATGAAAACGTGCACCTTTTTACTAATTTGATTTTCTCTAGCTTCAGTTTTCAGAAGAAGATTTTATGTCTTTTTCTGCTAGATTAAAGTTCAGAATAGTTTTGGAATTTAACAGTTGTCCAATTTTTAGACCATTTCACACAGGTTCCACTGATTTTCTGTAAGTTCACTATTTCTGAAGTACTGAAGGGATTAACTGTAATAACCAACATTCTGAAATAATGACATAAATAAAAAAGATTTGTAAATTATTAGTAAATTGTAAGAAAACACCACAAATTCTTCACACAGGCAGCAACAACAAATAATATATAGTTAGCAAAGTAACCGAAGCAAAAAAAAAGAAAAAAGAAGAAAAAAATCATTAATTGAGGAGACATTTGTAGTTGCTTGTAAGAACTGAACAGTGTATAAACCAAAAGATGGTGTTTGCATTATTAACACTATGCTATGTTTTTATGGTGGTACATAATCTTACTGGGAGACTAATCATATCTGGAACACACAGCAACATAGAAAATAATCCCTATCGAAACATTATTACCTGAGTGGACAGGACCATAAGTCAGGAAGCATTATTACTCTTATTTTACTAGAGGAACAGAATGAGTAAAGTTCTCAGAGATGTTTAAGCAGATGAACAGCAGATAAATCTGTCTAATCAGATAAACAGGAGACCAAAAAAAAAAAAAAATAATAAATAGACCCTATTTATCCTATAAGTAACTTGGGCAGGAAAACAAAAAACACCTGGAACAGAGCCAAAAATATATAAAATATAAAAAAGATCAGCCTAAATACTTAACAACAAAGACATTTTTCCACTCATCACACATCTCTTTTCCTACTCACTTGTTAGCATTCCAGGGTTCCTTTGTTTCTTTTTCACAGTTTAAATTTCACATAGTGGCAATGGACATGTATTTATATAGGCACCTTAACTCTACTGATTTCTGTGAGAAGTAAGCAAGCGAACACCTTCATATGATCTTGCCCATAGAGTCATCTTCTATCCAGAGACCAAGAACTGTCAGATACACGTAAAAAAATTATAGAATTCCTCTCATAGGTAACATTTAGCCACATGTTGGATGGAACTATGGCTGGCCTTTAGGCAGCAAACAAAATTTAAAAAGCAAAGACTGAATAAGAGATCCAAAGTGCAAAGGCAGGACTATCTCAGGATCAGTCTCCTTTCACAGCTACTTTAGAAGTACTTTCTACCAATTAATTACCTTCAGGAAACCCAGAAGTCCTCCTTACAGCTTCCAGAACAATACGCTTGTCCTAGTTCTGCCATCTTCCCCACACAGGGAAAGTAAATGCCTTCTTGACTTACTTGAGGAAGGGATTCTAAAAAAAAAGGGGGAAAACACAAAAACAGAGAACCTCAAGAGGAAAAAAACTGTCTTGGGGAGAAGGGAGGAGAAATGGGAGCAAATGCAGACCTTGGTGCGGAGGGAAAAGAAATGGGAGGAAGAAAAGGGAGGAAACCACTCATTTCACCTTTCTTGCACTTTGAGAGCAGGCAGAAGAGAGGACAGGGATACATTTGTAAGAAAAGCAGAAATAATCAATACATTCCCAGCTGTGGGAAGGAAAGGGAAAGGCAGTAAACACTGGCACTCTGACTGGAGATGCAGAGAAATAGGTTTGCAGGCAGAATGATAAAAAGCAAGAGGTATGCAGAGTAAATGGCATAAAGAAGAGGGGCTTATTAAAAAGAGGAGCTTGGAAGATGACCCTAACCAGAGGGTCCTGGGAGGTAAAGAAGGTATGTGCAGTAAGTTCAGTTACAGGAGTAATAAAATACATATCCTTGGGGTCATCTGAATGTCCCAGTGTGCTAGCATTTTCACTGCCTACCTGCCTAGGAAGCAGTGAACTAGATGGAGTTCAGAGGACCTACACTTCCATACCTTCTGAAAGCTTCTCTGACCTAGACCTAAACCTACAGAAAAATCCTAAATTACAACAAATCCGTCCTGCTGCAGAGGATGCCCTTTGGAACCTGTCACCATCGTTCCCTGAATGCCCTGGCACGCAACCGATCTGCTCCCCATGTCACTCTCAGGGCCACTTCTGCTCTGCCAACATTTGTCCAACCGAGGACACAGGGAGTCTTGAGAAGCAAACCTGGCTCTCCTATAGGGCAGGATGGCTATTTATTGATGATATAAGTGCTTTCCTCCAGGCAGTGGATGACTCGGTACCTTGTCAAGAGCTAAACCACATTGGTTTAACAGGTCTAGTGGAAAGCAATTCTTTCCTAATCAAAAAATGTACCTATGCTCCTGCCAGTGTAAAATCTGACTCACCTTAAGCCATTGTACCCCATCTTAATAAAAGTCTACTCACAAATACACTAGATATTCAGTCAATGATTAATGGCACTACCTGGCTCTGATGAAGCACTGCTCATTAGCAGATCTCTTAAGTGCTTCGTAAGACATTGATATCAAGATGCTCCAAATTAAAGGGAAACTGAGGCATGTCATAGTGAAATTATTCATTGAAGATCACCAGCATGCTCCTATAAGCTGTGACACAGTCGACGCTTCCTCAGCCTCAGCACTGTGACTCCACTGCGATAGGAAAGGGGGGTAGCATGTGTCAGCTACTCCATGGAACTTAACTGCACACACAGTCCTGCTCTGCAACTGCTCTTGGGAAAAGGCACGCTCGTGGGCAATTAGCCGACGCTGCCTGAAGTGCTGTAAGTTTATGCTCTTTCTTTCCCTGAATAAACTTGTTTGCACTCTCACACCATGGTAAAGACCATCCATAACTAAAATTAGGAGCAAAATTCCTTTATGTATGAGTCTTTGTCTTTGAAATCTACAAAATACAGAGTCACAGTTAAGGCATTCAGTCTAATTCTCTCCATGCCAACATAAAATACCATGATTGCAACCTTGATGTCAGATTAAATGAACCTAATTTTTAAAGACCCACTCCTACATTTTTTGATCCTGTAACATCACTACAGGTCACAATTATTTTAAGTTCATTTAATTATCTGACTTATTGAATGATCCAATTTTATTATATCTGAATTCTTTAACTAATTGTTTCACTTGGAACTTGCATCCTGTAATCATTTCTTACACAAAAGAGAGTACCAAATGAAATTGTCTTTAACAGGGAAAAAAAGAAAAGTCTGATGTATGAACCCACAAAAGTATGAACCCACAAAAATATGACTACTGCCCACAACACAGTACCATTTTACAGCCAGATGGGAGGGGATACGTCTGACTTAATGCACATATTTTTAGCATCTGTGTCTACAATTACTTCAGTTATTTAGACCTCCTTTAGTCAGTGAACAGCACCAGTCACTCCTGGGTGCACTTAATCTCATCTTCAAGTCGACCTCCAAACAGATCGGGAGAATTGTACCCTAAAAGCACCCATGTCTTGTAATTCACTCCAAAAGTAGCCTTGGGTGACTAGCTCATATGTACATATCTGCATTGCTGACATCTAAAGCGAGGTGAGATGATTAATTCAACTGCATTGTCCAAAAAGGCCGTACAGAGACTGATTCCCCGCTCTGTTACAAAAGTTCTGTACTACTAAGTAGTTCCCAAGAATTTCTGAATTGCGGAGACAGAAAACTGGTGTGTCGCCATCCTTCTCTATATATACATATATCATATCTTGGTTTATT